TTTTTTTTTTTTTTTTTTTTGTATTTTTAGTAGATACGGGGTTTCACCATGTTGGCTAGGATGGTCTCCATCTCTTGACCTCGTGATCCGCCTGCCTCGGCCTCCCAAAGTGCTGGGATTACAGGCGTGAGCCACCGCGCCCGGCCAGCACAGTCTTAATACTGAGGCTTTGGGACTTCCGGTGTTCTTTGGTTCTTTGCTTTGTTCCTTGTATCCCTAAAAGTTTTTTAAAAATTGTAATTTACCTAATAGGCTCCAAGGCATAGGCTTTATTCTACGAAGTGAGTAACAATATGTTTTTATTGACAGATTGATTGCCTTAACTTCTCCCTTGATTAGCCATAGAGTGAGCAGGGAGAAGTTGAAGTCTGTTTGTGCAAGTAGTGGTATTCCCCCTGCTTTTAAAACAAAGTTACCAGGAATGAGTCTTTTTTTAGAAAGTTGTTTTTGTTTACCTTAGAGCCCAAAACTCTTCTGGCTTGTTGCTGAAGCAAGGTTTAGACACAAGCTTGTGCATGTGTGGGTGTGGGGATGTCTGTGGTGTGCATGGAGGATGTTAACCTGTAATCCAATTCAGGGCTTAAAGAGGAGCAGGTGGAAGGAAGAGAGGCGGAGTCACACATCTACCCTCATCACATTCAAATGTGGAAAAAAAAAAATGGTGATTTCTTTACTTCTGTGAAATGCCTTTATAAGTTCCCATCCTTCTGGACAGTGACACAAGGGAGGGTTGGATGATTGGATGAGGGCCATATTTTAATCTATGAAGCATGGTAGGATTTAATCATTTAAATGATAAGCAGTCAGCCTGGTGTGGTGGCTCACACCTGTAATCCCAGCATTCTGGGAGACTGAGATGGGCAGATCACCTGAGACCAGCCTGACCAACATGGAGAAACCCTGTCTCTACTAAAAATACAAAATTAGCCTACAAAAAATACAAAACTCTAATAAAAATACAGGTGTGGTGGCACACGCCTGTAGTCCCAGCTATTTTGGGAGGCTGAGGCGGGAGAATTGCTTGAACCAGGGAGGCAGAGGTTGCCGTGAGCCGAGATCTCACCATTGCACTCCAGCCTGGGCAACGAGCGAAACTCCATCTCAATAATAATAATTATAATAATTATAATTATAAGCAGTCCACTTTAGACACAACGCTCAGTCTTTCATGTTTGCTGAAGATGGCATCTAGGTGCATGGGATGGGTGGGGTGGGGATGGTTCTTGGATCTATCCTGTGGCCTCTCCATCTCTGCTCATTTCTGCTCTGGAGCTGCTGGCCCAAGGCCCACCTGAGTTGCTGACTGCTGAGGAGAGACAGATCCTGCTCCTGGGCCTCCTGGGGCATTGATGTTGATATTGGCCAGAGTTACTAATTGCCAATTCTCTTTCTGCTTTTGAGATCCAGCAGTCTCCCTCGCTATCTATGCTACCTTGGCTGGTGGCAACGTGGATTGCCCTGAGACCTGGCCTTGACTTGTATGTGCCCCCTTCCCACTGAACCTGCTCAGTGTTCCACATCTCTGAGTCCCTCTGGAAATTTTCCTGCCAGATGCTTGACCAGTGCTCTTGAGCCTCCTTGGGCACATGGGAACTGAGGGCTGCTGATGAACGGCTAAGGAAAGGCGAGCTCAGCCCCACTTCCAGCAGTTTGCTCTGATGTGTCTGCTCCAGTTGGCGCAGGGCAGCCTGTGAGGTGACCTCCTTCCACATTCCCAAATGGGAATGAGACATGGAACTCACTCTTCTCAGCATTCCTTAAAAAGTCTACCAGTAATATCTATCACCTCCACCCCTCATAATAATACCACATGTAACAAGCACTGTTCTAAGCACTTCTTTATTTTTGAGATGGAATCTCGCTCTGTTGCCCAAGCTGGAGTGCAGTGGCATAATCTCAGCTCACTGCAACCTCGCCTTCCTGTTTCAAGTGATTCTCCTGCCTCAGCCTCCTAAGTAGCTGGGATTACAGGCATGCACCACTACACCGGCTAATTTTTGTATTTTTAGTAGAGACAAGTTTTCGCTGTGTTGGCCAGGCTGGTCTCAAACTTCTGACTGCCGGTGATCCGCCCATCTCGGCCTCCCAAAGTGCTGGGATTACAGGTGTGAGCCACTGCGCCCAGCCTATCCTAAGCACTCTAATGCATACTCACCTTATTGAGTTTTTATAACAATTCTGGGAAGTTAGTAATGTTACTATCACTGTTTGACAGGTGAAGAAACAGAGGCACAAAGGGATTAAATAGTTGCCCAAGGTTGAACCAAGATTTGAACCCAGGCAATCTGGTTTCAGATTTCATATTCTTAGCCATGACTTTGGCTCAGAGAGGAACAACTGAACCAATATGTCTGAATACCTCCTTTCTCTTCCACTACTTTACTTCTTCCCATAGTCTTCTTAATCTAGGATCAGAGAAGGTAGGCTTTGTCTTCTTTTTTTTCCCCCCTGTTTTGCTGGGATGTATCTGATGTATAACTCTATGACAACAATTCAAAGGGAAATGAAGAAATTTAGAAAATCCTCTCTCTCAACAAAACCTGGCTGTCAAAAATATTGTCTTGGCTGGGCACTGTGGCTCATACCTGTAATCCCACCACTTTGGGAGGCCAAAGCAAGAGGATCTCTTGAGCCCAGGAGTTCAAGACCAGCTTGAGCAACATAGTGAGATCCTATCTCTACAAAAAAATTTTGGCTGGACATGGTGGATCACACCTATAATCCCAGCATTTTGGGAGGCAGAGGCAGGAGGTCACTTGAGCCAGGGGTTCAAGACCAGCCTGAGAAACACAATGGGATCCTGTCTCTACAAAAAAAAAAATTTTTTTTTAATTTAGCCAAATGTGGCAGCTTGCAGCACCTGTAGTCCCAGGTACTCGGGAGGCTGAGGTGGGAGGATTACTTGAGCCTGGGAGCTCAAGGCTGCAGTGAGCTATGATCATGACACTGCGCTCCAGCCTGGGTGACAGAGCAAGACCATGTCTCAAAAAATAAAATAAACGTGTGTACCTATGCAACAATCTTGCATGTTCTTCACATGTACCCCCAAACCTAAAATGCAATAAAATAAATTTTAAAAAAATAATAAAATAAAATAAAATCTTGCTGGAAAACCTTATTTTGGGGGCCAGAAGTAAAATATTAACTATTTCTTTATCTTTGCACTCCTGTTGTGAAAATCCTCATTATCTTTTAGATAATATGGATACATCTGGCTGAACAGAAGTAAACAAGAACAAAAAAATGCAAAAGAGAAAAGCACTTGAATATATTTCAGAAAAAAAATTTCCTATTAAGCACATTGGTTTGGAAAGGAAACAGCTGTAATTGGTTATAATAATGGTTTGGTTTGGCAAGATCTTTTTGGATTTATACCTTTCCCCATCTCGTAAGCATCATTTGGAAGTAAACAGAAAAAAGGCTCTGGAAAATGGTTTATCTACCATGTCACACTGTAACCCTGGACCAGGGGTCAGCAAACTTTTTCTTTTTTATCAAATGCAAATTTCTGGTTTTTTTTTAATTTTAATTTTTAGCTTTTTTAATTTTAATTTTTATTTTTTGAGACACAGTCTCACCCTGTCACCCAGGCTAGTGTGCAGTGGCACAATCTCAGCTCACCGCAACCTCTGCCTTCTGGGCTCAAGCGATCCTCCCACCTTAGCCCCAGACCCCTGACCTAGTAGCTGGGATTACGGGTGCATGCCACCATGCCTGGCTCATTTTTGTATTTGTTGTAGAGACTGGGATTTCACCATGTTGCCCAGGCTGGTCTCAATCTCCTGAGCTCAAGCGATCTGCTCACCTCCACCTCTCAAAGTGCTGGGGTTACAGGTGTGAGCTCAGCCAGCAAACTTTTTCTGTAAAGGGCAAAATCCAATATTTTTTAGCCTTTGTGAGTCATATGGTTTTTGTTGCGATTACTCAATTCTATAATAATGTGAAAACAGCCATAGACAACATGTAAATGAATGAGTGTGACAGTGTTCCAATAAAACTTTATTTACAAAAGGAGTCAGATACTAATAAAAACAGATCAGAGTTGGCTCCAACAGGTTGTAGTCTGCTACCCCTGCTCTAGAATTTAATCAGAGTCTTGGAGGTCTAATTCCCATTTGAGAGGCAACTGCCAAGTCTCTACCACATGGATACTGGATTAAACACTGTGGGCTATAAAAGCACCACACACACGCCCTGGTGAGACACTTGATGGCCAGGGAAGCTGTAGTGAAGAGTGTTGCTGACATTTGGCTGATACTGAAACTGCATCTATGCGGAGGTTATCACTGTGGATGGGAATGGTTTCTATTTTTCTTTACTGCTAGGGTGCTTTTTGTGGTGTAAAGCCCGAGGGACATTTTTAGGGAAACTGTCTCTTGGAAAGTATATTTTAGAATATCCTTGAACTTATAGATAAGGAGACACTCAGATTGACTCAGAAACTACTCCAAGTCTAGTTTCATGGAGTGGGGGCCCTACACTGAGACCCTAGGGATCTTGCTATGTAAGAGCCAAGCATTGTTGTAGGGTATTGAAGAAGGCAACAGTAAGAAGATCCTTTAATTCTAAATTGTGGGAAATGCT